ATAGAGATGGCCTCCAACCTAGTAGCAATGGCGTCAAACCTAATAGCAATCTAGTTTTCTCCATTCTTTTTTATATATATAATATATATTATATGTCTGTTTTCTTTGTTTCTGATAGACTGGCCTCCAACCTAGTAGCAATGGCGCAACTATATTGGCCGGACCATTCATTCTTATCTGTGTTCTTTGTTTCTGATAGAGATGGCCTCCAACCTAATTATTAGCGATGGTCTCCAACCTAGTAGCAATGACCGCCAACCTATAATAGCAAACTACATGAGACCTTTCTTCATTTTCTTTGATCTTTGTCCAAAAATAGAGATGGCCTCTAGCCTACTAGCGATGGCCTCCAACCTAGTAGCAATGGCCTCAAACCTAATAGCTAACTATATTGGACCTTTCTTTGTTTTGTACTTTCTTTGTTTCAAGTAGAGATGGCCTCCAACCTACTAGCAATGGCCTCCAACCTAGTAGCAATGGCCCCCAACCTAATAGCAAACTATATTAGATCATGCGTCCTTTTTTGTTTTATATGTTTCGAGATGGCCTCCAACCAACCAACCTAGTAGGAATGGATTGGACAAAATATTACTGTAAGCGATCATCCAGTTCGCCTTCAGTTCGCCTTCAGTGCCTTCTTCGTTGAGTGTGCTGACATGTACTGATGGAAAAGGATCAAATCCAGGGAAGTAAGATCAAGCAAGAGGCTTCCTAAATCTTCCAAGCCCCCGGAATGCAAATATCTGTTGTCATATCATCATTGGACCTGGGTCAACCAAGTATGTACAAGTATTGTTTCATGTTGATTGCAATGAATATTTCCAAGGCAGGCGGTTGTGCAACTTCAGGACAGGGTATGAGCTTTGCAAAAGGTCAGCTTCTGAAGAAGGCTCACGGTTTGCATTGTCGTGACATGACGAAACCATACGAAACCATAATCTATAGAAATCTACATCTACAATCTACCAGTCTACCAGCGTCCATAGTCTAAACATTTGATCTTCGTTCACCCAACAGAGTGGTCAGGATGCAAAAAACACAGTGTCAAATGCCATTTGACCTCATACTGTCCTCTCTCTCTCTACCCACTGATCCGGAGTCCTATGTGATAGGTTAGCAGTGCAACGATGACAGTAAAAAGCTTTGGTTTGCATACAAGATCATGTCGAGTGTGTTCTCACTGATTTACTCTTGGGAGACCCTCCAACCACGTATATACGCCCCTGTTCTCCCCGCACAGCTTCCCATGGTGAGTTCCCCCTGCGGTGGACGCGAAGAGGTCGGACTCGCTGGCCGCATCGGAGGCGGTGCGGCGTTCCGCGGCTTCCGGAAGTCCTCAGGGCGGCGATGGGCCTCGTCTTCCCATGGGATGACGGCGACTGGGATGACGTGACCTGAAGGTAGGTCAAACAGCCGACCTGGTGACCTGGGCGGCATGATCCGTTTTCCATACATGGAGTGGGTATGAAACCTTGCTGCCAAGCATGGAGCCAACCAACCTCACAAACAATTGCATAATGTCAATGCCAATGCCAGTCTACCATGCCCAAGTTGAGGCTCTTTTGTCAGTTAGGAAAGCGGAACGTGTCCGATACCATGATCAGTTCAATGCCATGAAGGTGAGTGGATAGAGGCATTCTTCATGTAGGTTCCACCATGCTCCACTACGGTCACCGCAGGCGACACGTGACAAACAGGTCAACCCTGTTTGAACATATGGGGGCGAGCGTCGTCCATGGTGTCATGCACATCATGTGACAAACAGGAACAGTTTATCTTTGGGGGAGAATGCATACAGTCTTCAATGGCTGCGCACATCCAACGGCTAATACATGATAAATGACTTGGAAGAAGAACACAATTACAGTATAACTCGTCCGCGGACGTTGAATGTTGATCTTTCATGGAATTCAACTTCATGTTCCTTGGTGGCCTCGAAGGGAGCAATCAATCAGCAACATGTGTTCTCGTCTGAAAGAGGTCGGACGGTTCATTTGGGGGGCCCACAGACTTTTCCAGGATTCCCTCTTGTTTGCTACTTGTCAGGTGATTCAAACATCTGTTATTAGCGTTATTAGCACCTCAACAAGATTTGCCATGCAACATGGGAACACAAGAAAACACACGCCAACAAACACATATACTGTACAATCGTGACGGTTCTAGATTGTTCATGTTTAGGAACAACAACTTGAAAAACATCTTGAATCGCACTTATCAAATGTTTACAAGTTGTTTACATCAAAATGTTTATGGCACTTATCAAAAATTAGGACCAAAAATGGCACTTATCAAATGTTTACATCTTAAATCAAGGTCCCTCTGAGTCACCGACCGGAAGCGGCGGCGGCGGTGGAAGCGGCCGTCCCGGGGACTTGGGGGAAGCATCCCGCGCCCTGGGGAAGCAGAATGGTTTCGGAAAAAAGCGGGATCTCAACATGTATAGTGCAGCAACAGGCAAACCTGAATCAGCATGCGATAGCACAAATAGGTAGGAGGCCGTCGCTCATATAGGTTGGAGGCCATCACTCTTTCTCGGTGTTTCACACGGAGCTGGAGAGCTTGGACCAAGATCGATCTCGTGATAAGAAGATTGACATACTCTAGGGCTCCAAATACCTTCTATAAGAAGGTGGGACTGGGGTGGGTGCCATTGTTGGGTCCAGTCATACCTTCTGAGGAGGTACGACTGGAGCCCTAGGGATATTTTTGAAACAATCTCCTGTGGAATTACCGGTGACCTTCAGCTCAAGCTCCCAGATTCTATAGAGGATATTCGGCATGGGATTTGAAACATGTGATTGAACTACAGATCTTGATCATTCACAAAAACACGTTCAAGTCATCCCGACAGTGTCGTCGAGCGACTCTAGGCGTGACTTGCCTAATTAAGATCACACTTCTCCGCTCCGCTACAGCTTTCAGAATATCATCGCAGCTGAACCCGATCAACAGTTGTTGCCGATGTTGTCTGCCTCTCGCATTGCTCTCATCAAATCTTTTCTTGAGAGGGCTGCGTATCACAACATTATACGTATATTCCCATTCCAGCAAGGATATACACTCCCCATCGAAGTGGATGGCATGGCATCAATGAGATGACCACTTTGTACCATAATTCATCTATATACTATCCGAATACAAGGTGTTTGTTGCTTTGTTTTTCTCCACTTCCATGGAATCTACATCCAAGCTGCGACACCCTCAAGCTGCAACCCCCTCGATCGCCTGGGTCGGCCTTCTCGGCCGCAGCGGCCCTCCCGCGGAGTGGGCCGAAGTGGAGTCTGGACGCAGCACGGCTGGGCGCGTCGCCCGGGTCGCAAGGTGAAGAAGCAAAGCGCACATGGTAGGTCTCAACTTATGGATGGAACCTCCCTTAAAGAAGAACTGCCAAACCCAAAGACGTGGTTCAAAGACCAAAGCAAAAGAGCTTCAATCAGATGGATTGACTTCGGTTGAAACATCGCGCAAGTCGCCACTTTCAGGTTTAATCCAACAAAGATTGGATCTTGCCAGTTTCTAGCCAACGTCTGCTGCAATCATGTGCTAGCAGTGAAGAGATCAAACACGGCTATATCCAGCACACTCGATATCCAGCAGCAGCAGCAGCAGCAGCAGCAGCCGCCCTTTCATTCCATGAACTTGCCAGATCGTCACGCCCAATCGGCCAACGGCCAGCTAACGCACATTCACACGACGAAGCAACCAATGCTGCGCAGCCAAACAAAGAACAGGATCCTCGTGAACCCGCGTTTCGGTGAAATAGATGAACGCTTCGGTGAAATGGAATCCTCGTGAACCCGCGTTCTATTGTCTTAGTGAACGCTTCGGTGAAATGGATGTCCGTCGTTTCTCCCGTCTTCTCGATGTCTCTCGTCTTTCTCGCCCTATCGGCTCTTCCCTGGACCGCCTTGGGACAGGGTGGCGGTGGAGGCCTTGGAGCAACGAGCGACCGTAGGGACGGTGGGTAGTTTGGGAT